GTACAGAGGAGTATTCTTAAGGACCTTGAAAATTATTTTAAAGTGAGTTAGATAGCAACTCAACCAAGATTACTGGGCCATTTTAATATAGTTATGGTGATGACTTTTCTTTAAATGTTAATTTTTTCTTTGCAGCTCAGATATGTTTCTGTTCTTTCGTTTGTGTTAGTGCTCATGACAGAAGATTGATGTCATTTGCTAGAGTTGGGCGTAATGCTGAAGTGTGCTATGCAGGCTTGTCCACACAGCACCTGTAGTACTTGTCAGTCAAGTTGCTAAAAATAATCAGTGAATAGTCTTCCACCTAAACCTTAAAATGAGTAATGTGGTGGTTGGTTGTTATTCTCTGCCAGCCTGTAATGTTGTTTCTCTGGAACATGTGATTTGTAGCTATCAAAATGAATGATTTTATGGCCCCAAAGTGGAGTACTCCGTTCTTTATTCCCCAAGAGATTTTTTGAAGTGGCATAAAAATGTGATAAATATCCACTGCTGACACCCTGCTGGCTTCTGAAGTTTACAGTTTCATAATGTTTATTTACCTTTCATGGGAATAGGTTTTCGTCTTATCACAACACTCCAACGGCAACATCAGTGAACGTAGGTGGGGATGATGATGCAATATATAGTAAGGCAAAATTATGTCCATGTATGACTGTGAAGTTAGGAAACGGGCAAAAGGAAAGCATGTCAAAACTAATGTTTCAGACCATTATCTGATGCATGTAAAAACAAAACAATCCACCCATGTCTTTTGACTATGGAATTACAATATAAGAAGCACAAAATGTTAGAGACTCTAAGATGTGAGAAGAGACAAAATACCGTTGTTCCAAATGATAGCCCCAGTATTTTACACTGATTAGTAAAGAGTTGTGTGAATGCAGTAAAAGTTGTGCAATGACTACTACCCTTATTAAGCAATCTTCTGGCCTCAGAGACTACTTCTGTGTATTGCCAAATATATTGACTGTCAGCCTGCTCTCCATTTATTAGAAAAATCTTTCTGTCATGAAAATGATTTTTGTTGCTCAATTAAGACCAGGTTCCCTGGACTTAGAATACTCGAAAAGTAAGTTGTGGTGTGTGTATGTGAAGAAAATCTTCATTTGTCACTGTAATAATTCATTCAGGGGACAAATATTTCTTTTTAATTTAGCAGATCTGCTGACAGAATGTCACTTTCAGTAAAATTTTCATAGTGTATTATAAAACACACTCCCATTAAAAATAATCTACATTGTACTGAACCCATGACTACTTTAGAAACAATGTGACACCAGTGTAACTGTTCTAACATTTATTTAAACACCGTTTTCTCATTGGGTCAATCAGCACCATGCAATGTCTATGCCATTGCCATCAACAGATAAATAGTTAAACATATGTTGCTGTCTGCTCTGCATTGAAGAAAAAAATAAATAATTGTTCTAAGCTATCTTTTGCGTTCTTAAAAAAACATTCAGCTTTGTAGCTGTATCTTCAGCATGTATTCCACAAACAGACAAAATACAATCTTTCTTTTCTCCTTATTGCTCTCTCAATATGACTTACATGAAGTTACCATTTTAACCCAATGGTGATTAAAGACACAAATAATGTAAAATGTATTACTGCCAGTAAGAAGAGAGAAATAAGAATTTTGACAGCGCTCATTGGTTTGAAGAGAGAGACCAATTTGAGTTGTCCAGCTCAAAGAACAAGACAAAGCATTTCAGGATTTGGGAGGCAAGATAGACAAACACCCAGACAGAGTACTGTGCTGTCTTCTCTGCCTTCTGTCCATTAGAGGATTTTGCCATTGCATGCACCTGTCATGCTCGTAACGTGTATTGTCCGCGCACACAGTTGTTTGCAGTTTTGCACAGCACTTGTGCAGCTCCACCGGCAGTAGTAATATCAGAAAATACACACCTGCCATTCAGTGATATTTGTTTGAGTGTTTTACGCTGTTGCTACTGTCGGAGCTGCACAGAAATAATAGCTACAATATTTACTTGTTCAGGCTCAGCCTGCAAGATACACCACTCTTGTATCCTGCATTAGGTCACTGTGCATTGTTGTGGTACTAATGTACGCAAAAACTATTAGTGCTGTATTTGCACCATTGTAATTGATCCTTCCAGTACAGGTCCACAGTCTCCAACGCCATGCCAGTTGACTACTCTGTTCACTGTCTCCTGTTTTCCTGATTACTTGTTTGTTTCAAGCTTCTGCAGTCTTTTGCATCTGAGTTTGCATGCATTTCACCTTCTAAAATCTTAAGGCTATGAAAATAGTACGGAAGTTGCTTGGAGAAGCTGAGAGGAGTTAGTTCAGCTCCTCATCTGGTGTAAATCAACATAGTTCTGTTACTTCAGTGAGGCAACACTGACTTGTATCAGCTGAGGACCTTGCCCTGTGGCTTCACTAGATGAAGATAGTATCTTTACTACTGCAGCTGCTATCAACAATGCAACCGTATCTGTGATAGCAATGATGTAAACACCAACATATACAGAGCTAAGGTGTTTCACCTCCATGTCATCAAGGGCTAGACAACTCGGGGGGTGAAAATGCTAGCGTCTGGTCTGTGCTGCCACTCCAGCTGTTGTTGATGCTGGAGCTGTGTCAGCATTAGGTCAATTGTGGGAGAATTATCTGAAATTCTCAGCGTAGACATAGACTGAATGCATTGCATTGCATGGATCACAAGAAGAAAAACTAGACGAGAGCTGACCCGTTAGGGTTTATACTTATACATATCGGTGCATATGTACTGTATGCTTCTTGTTAATGTAAACTCTGCCTGTTTTTTGCAGGGAGACTTTCTGTATCATTAGTTTCTCTTCACTTTTCTCTACGTATGTTTGTTTTATCTTTCATCATTTGGTTGTGCACAATGGGGAGGAGCATTTAAGTATCAAGGTTTTGGTGGAATGTCAGCGTATTTTCAAAATAATTAAGCATAATGCTGCAAGACCCTGTGTAAAGTCTCTGCAATTTTAACTGCTGGCTTTGCAGCCAAAGAGGTGGCCCTGTGTGCTGGATCTACCTGCTTGATCTCTGTGTAATCAATGACATTTTTAAAATGTGACATCTGACTAAAAGTGCTTTTGTTTTCCATAAGAGAAATTACAGTTAAGAGTTGGTAAAAATCAGCTGTCCTTTTTTTTTTTAAATCTGGTGTGGTTTTTGTTTTGTTTTGTTTTTGAAATTTCAGGTACTAGATTAGTTGTGAGAGTTTGTAGTCTGTTGCCATCTAGTGGGGTGTGTATGTAAATTTAAGGTGATTCCTTTTTTTAAAAAAATCATAATTATTACTTTGAACTGCATAGTTAATACAGCTAAAACTCCTTAAGAGAACATTAAAGTAGGACATTAAAATATTTTAAAGTATTCAAAGATAAATCAGATGTAAATCAAGTTGAAATTTAGAAACATTAACCCTGAAATTTGATTTAAAGTGACACTCTCAGTACCCGTGGTTCAAAATTTGATCTGGATTTTTTCTTATTTCCGAGGACTCCTTTTGATTACAAACAAATAGAAACCCACTAAGCTACTCTTTCCCTTTCTCAAAATCCACACCAGTAATCTAGCAAATGTGAACAATCCTATAATTACAGACCAGTGGACTTGCATAATTAAAGTGGGTGGGTGCCTTTTTAGAACAAGCAGATGTATCTTTGTTTTAAATATTTAATGTACATTTTAATTAGAACATAAATATTTTTAAAATATCCAGACAACTCTCAAATTAAACTAAACATAAGAACGCTCAGCCTTTACTTTTTAAAACTTTTATAGTAATTTTTATAGTGATTGGAGTTGATTGTATAACTTTCTAGAAGTTTCTAGACGTTTCAGTCATTTGCTAAGACCATCATGTAATCATTTTTTGGATAAAGTATTTTATTAACATAAACTTTTTTTTAGGTCACTTCCAGGTACCACAGCAGCTGAATGTGCATCAAATCTCAAGAAGATCTATACAGTACAGACAGTACAGGTAAGATTAAAATAGAACTACAGAAATTGCTACACGCGAGAAATAACACTCAAGTTGTGAGGTTATATTGACAGCCATGTGCCAGATGAGTAATTCTCATGCTTTCATCTCTCTGAGGTACAAAATCTAAGTATCAGTTGATAGTATATGCTATTCCTTAGGCTTCCCTAGAATTTCATTGGTAGTGTGTTTGATTCCTGGGTGGTTTTGAGGGATCATAAAGGGGTGAGTTGCAGGGTAATACACTTGCTTTGCCAGATACTCTGTCTTTCTAGAAGATTTCAGAGCCTCAGGCTGTGCCTCTAAATTGGATCATGAAACTTGATTTACTTTAAGTATTTGTCTGCCTTTTCTCCAGCTATTCTCCAGTGTAATAAATTATTATATGAGCAACGGAAGATATAGTACACAGAAGTCTTCCCTTTGAGTACCCTGTTTGTGACTTTTTTTCTTGTGAACTGATTTGTTATGTTAAGGCTTTTTCTGTATCTGGAACACTTGCAGCAGATGAGAGATTCTACATAATATCATTCCGTGTTTTCCCTTTTACCTGTCATATAACTTTGTATCTGCAAAAAGTCAGTGGGTAACACTTGCACTCCGTATTCTGAATGGAAACAATCTTATTAGGAATGTGGGTCCATATTAGTAGTGGAGCAGGCATGAAATATCTGTTGTTCGGTTTGTCTTACATAATGTTAAAAGTCTGGCTTTAATTCACCAAAAGCCAGAATATTCTGATATGAGGCTAAAACTCTGTTGTGGCAATTTGGGGGATCTATGTACAGCTTATGACTTCTGGTTGATACTGGAGACTCTGTGTATCTGTGTCAGACTGCAAACTCCCCTTTGAATATGGACCTTGTTCACCTTTTCTGCTGTCTTTTACCTCCTTGTAGAGCTAAAACCCACAGGAGGTGTCAGGAGAAGTTCTTGCACCTGGCACAAGACTAACAATGGAGGGTTGCTAAACTTTGATGATTGCCCATTCATATGGAGTGCCTTGGATGAATAGGTGGATACCGCTCAGGGCAAATGAGGTTTTTTTCTCTTTCAGGTCTGAACTTCAGGGGGTAGTAATGAAACAAAGGACCATCTAGTGGGGGGACTTTATCACATAACAAGGCTGACGAGAGGGTCACCTGACATAAGGGACTGGAAGTTATAAAATAAAGGGTCTCATTAGTCTTTTTTTTGGCAGGCAGTAAGGGAGGCTGGGCACTGACAGCTGAGTTCAGAGAGAGGGGTATTTTATTGTTTTGTCTAAATCTGTATATTCTTGTGCTAACTGAAGAGGGATTGGCTTTTGAACCCTTGGCAAAGCCTGTGTGTCTGTTTGCTTCTACTATCATGTGTTGGGGCATCCAGTAGGGTAAGGGGGAGCAGTGTTAGCACTGGTCCTCCAGGCCTAGGCCAACTGGACCAAAAGGGTCAATTTCTGTGACGGGGTAGAAGACCGAGAGCCTGTGCCCAGGAAGTATGCCAGAGAGAGAGAGAGAGTGCTGCAGCCTTCTCAGACCAAGGGAAGCTTAAGAATATCTGGGCCCAGTGTGGTGGGACCCATATATCGCAGCCTGGTGAGTGTCAAGGAGAGAGGGCTTTACAAGGGCTGTGTGACAAAAGCCAGGAAATTTGGAAATGAAGCTAAAACCCTGTCTTTAAAGGGACACTGTCTTGGTGGCTAGTTTTGAAATAAAACTGCTTTGACATTTGTACTGTTTAGTTAATGCCTTGTATCAGTTGTCCCTTCCCAGCCACACTTTTCCTCTGTTCACTCTTAGCTTTAGAATTTTTCAGAAAACGAGGGCATTGGTCAGAGCTCTGGCAAACAGGCTGCAATTGGATAGCTCGTGGTTGTGCTTTGCAGACCTCTGTTGGAGGTGTCTTGTTGCCCTATCTACGAAGGAGAATATGCACATCATTCAGGTGATTTCTGTAGCGATTTCTCCCCAGGGAATTAAGTTTAACAGCAAAAGTACACCCCTGTCTAAAGTGGCTGAAATGGTTGTCGCTTTGACAACTGAAGAGAGCACTGCTTAAGTCCAGAGTTTGGTGTACATAGCATCTCTTATCATTGCTTTTTCCACTCTTAATCCAGACCCAATTAACTAAACTGGACCTTACTGTATTGAAGAGCTACATTGTTTTCCTCCCATCAGGTTGTTGAAGTTTTAGAGAATTCCTTCAGGTCCCCTAAGAAGGCTGTTTCCACTAGATGAATTATTGGAGGCCAACAGCTTGGCCTATAACTGGTCTATTGATAGGTTCAGCCTCAGTATGTACTGTCATATATCTGATATGACTGCCCTGTGGAAAACAACAGAAATGTTCAGTGACTTTCGCTGTACTCTTTAGAATTTGCTATCTCATCAAAGGTAGTTGGTACAGAACATAGTAGCCTGTACAAGTTCAAGAACATTATAGGTGTGAGCCAAAACCTTGTAGACACAAAGGTGTCCCTTATTCTTTCAATTTCGGCAGATTATTGCTTACTACTAGATTGGTGAAAGCAGGGCACAGAAGACAATCAATCTAAACTCACCCAGTTCTGTTTTCTGTCAGACTTTTCCATTGTCAGTTCTCATGGCTTTACGTAGTGGTACTCAACTTTTAACAGCTGGATAACAAAGTAGCTCTCAGATGGAATTGCAGAGAGCCACAGAATCATATCATAATGTTGCAAAGTTTGTTTTGTAAAGTTGCACTAATGCATGATTATGATGCAACATAATGACTTAACATCTTTGTTGCTTCTCCTTTACCTGTCTTCTGGGAAGGAGGGATCTTTGTTCTCCTCCAATCCCCACTACCACTTCTGGGGGCTAAATGGGATTAACCCTGCTCTTTTCCCACCCCATCCCCTCGATGGTGGCTTCCTCTCTTACCTGCAGCTGAGAAGTAGAGTCTGATGGTTCCCTTGCTACTTGGTCTGTTCAGAAATCCCCAATCTTGCATTGCCATGGTATATCCTATTTTGTTGTAGGCAGTACTCTTTCTGCCTGATCTCAGACAAAATAAGTGGATCACCAACTAGGCATGATGCTCACAAGAGCTATAATGTAATCTTGTGATGCACGATACCATGACAAGCAGTGTGATCTAAATCTCTAGACAGAAGAGCTAGAGGATTAATGTTTTATGGTATTGGACTAGTTTAGTAAATAGACAGAATAAGTGTTTATCTCTTTTTAAAAAGCATGTTAAGGAAGTTTTACTCAAACACTTTGGATATATGTTCCATTGTAACTCAGATTTAGATAATATTTAATATACTTTCTCACAGTCATTATGCTTTAGTATCAAAGGCTGTGTTGTTAGGGTAAAAAGGTGTTGGTTGGAGGCTGTGATACAGCACAGATCTCTTCAGCACATACAGAATGCTACTAGGGGCTGGTCTACACTACATCCGGGATCGATGCTCTGAGATTGATCCACTGTCCGTCGATTTAGCGGGTCTAGTGAAGACCCACCAAATCGACAGCAGATCGCTCTCCAGTCGACCCTATATTCTACTCCTGACGAGAACAGTAAGGTAAGTCGACGGGAGAGTTTCTCCCGTCGACCTCCCGCGGTGTAGACCCCACAGTAGCTTGACCTAAGGTACGTCAACTCCAGCTATGTTGTTCACGTAGCTACGTAGCTGGAGTTGCGTAGCGTAGGTCGACTTACTGCGGTAGTGTAGACATAGCCACCGTTAAAATATTAGATTTAAGAGCTGCTACTTCTATTGCAAATTCACGTATGAGGACACCCAGTATGGAGTTTTCTGCACTTTGGGAACTTCATTACAGAACAGTTGTTTCCCTTCTCTCCACCTTCACCTCTCATAGAAACATGCATTTGCTAAGCAACAGTGGCTTCCGAATAGGACACAACTTGTCATAGTTTTAGTGGCTTGTAATTAAAATATTACCACTTCTGAATTATGTTCTCTTTAACAAAAAGCTGAAAGTGAAATTGTGACAAGAGCTTGAACTTTAAAGAGCTTAAATACATAACAAGGGTAAATTATAGTTTTCTATGAGAGAGAATCTTGATAATTTTATGAAGTATAAGCAAAGCAAGTAAATCTGTATACAGTTCACTGTCATACGTGAATGATACTAGAACCTTTTTTCCCTTTTTAAGATTTTCTGGAGTGTCTATAATAATATCCCTGCTGTGACAAATTTGCCTCTGAGATGCAGTTACCATTTAATGCGGGGAGAGAGACGGCCACTTTGGTAAGTATCTTATCACTGTAAGCTCCTGGGGCTAGGGACACTTCTGTCATTGTAGAAATAATAAATAATGAGTGGAAAGAGGGATCAGAGAGTTGCATGTCTGTACTGTACTGCCATTAATCAGCTTGACTTGGGATTCAAAAGTGACTTTCATATGTCACTAAAGATCTTGTTCAGTTTAAAAGCTAATTATCTTAAATCAAGCATTTATTGAAAATTAGCATGTGGAAATATGGGCTACAAATTAATTGTCCATATTTGATTATACATGTAAATAATAAATCCTGAATTAAACATACATCCTGTTTAAAGTCAAGTGTTCTAAGAAAAAGCTGTATTTGAATTATTTTTAATTTACTGATTTTTCTTTTCTCTCCACACAAAATGGGGGGACATTAATACAAGGGACTAATATTCGTTGGTAATATTCACTGTGCCAAGTATGCTCCATCTATGCACAAACATACACATACCTAAAGACATACACACACGTTCCTATAGGCTTAGATCAGAGAAGATTGACTATCAAGTTTTGTAACACTACATTGCAGCTCATTCCAATTTGATAGCTTATTGTTCGTAGAATGGAAACTCAAAACTATAAACCATCAATTTTTTCTTTATAAACTGAGTTTAATTTCTCTTCCCATTTATATAGTTCGTGCACTTTTTAGTTAGATGGATTAGGAACCTGCTGAGTAGACTTGCTACTTATTTGCACGGTTTTTTATTAGTTTGGCTTGTGATCGAATTACAATTCTTTACATATTAACAATAGACCATAAAACGGTTCACTGAATTTTGACAAACTACTGTAGGTTCAAGTGACTAGTGAGTAAGCACAAGAACTCCTTTTGAAAGATATTACTGCTGAATAGTGTAGGTTAAATTGGTTTTAAGTAAATGTCGACATTGGGATATGTGTACACCAGTCTTGATATCTTCACTGACAATGTCAAAGGATAAGCAAGAGAACTTTCTGTTTTTGTTCTTCTCTATGTTTAGTTTTGATTTGGTCAGTGATTTTGAGGTGGGTGCAGTTCAGAGACCTCTGAAGATGATGCAGGTCTATTTCAAAACTCCCTCTGTCAAAGAAATTCAGTGTACTGTATTTAAGGAAAGGAATGTGCAATGTTGATCTAATCACTAAGTCACTGTCGTCTTAGTAAGTATTAATAAATTATTGCACAGGAAAGAAAGGTCTTGTTGAGATCCTCAGATTAGTTAGGGTTTAAAGTGTGGTTTTTGGCTAATTATGGCCATGTTTTTATAAATATCAATCTATTTTTATTGGTGTTTAAAAATGTGCTTTCCTTGATTTATGTCCTTCCCAAGCCTTCCCTCAGAACTCACCCCCATTGATGGAAGCTCATTTTGGCTGGGAAATCTTTAGAGGCTGCAAACAATTTTCAGCAGTTCAGACATTGTACATTGAACATATTAGTGTACACCTTTTAAAAACTGGTTCTTACACTTTTTCTTTTGTGGAGCTGTGACTGAAAACACTAATTCAAATTTATAAATTAGTTGCAACAGAATGAATTGGAAAAGGCTGTAACTAATAACTGTAGCATTATGAAGCATGGTTTAAAATTGTTGTCAGCCCTAACTCCAGATCACTTGATTTTTTTTTTTTTGAAGGACAATTAATTTCCAGTGATCACAGAACTTAACTGAAATATGTACAAGTTCCTGTGTTCACTAGCAAGAACCTGAGAAGAAATGAACTGCCGAAGGATGAGGTTACCACAATAAACCATGACATGTTTTGTGGTCATGTGCTCTCTAAGAATTTGCAGCCATTTCAAAAGTGCCCTGTGACCAGGGAAAATAGAATCATTTCCTAACAGACACAACATAGGAGAAGGTTTGGATGTCGACAGGTGTGCTTCACATGAACAATGAATGATTTCTCTCTGGTGTTAGAATACCTAGCACAAGCCTTGTTACCTGGAATTAGTGCTCAAATTTCAAATGGGATTGTCCTGGAAAAATTAACCCCATAAATAAGTTTAAATTTGTATCATACTGTGAAAAGCACACTGTATGTACACTTTATCTACATGTGGATTTGAATGGTTTGTTTTCTTTGACATATTTCTCACAACCAGGGAAGAGGAAAGCAACGCCAAAGGAGGTATATGGAAAATGAAGGTCCCTAAAGAAAGTACGGTATGTAATGTCAATTTCTATCTGGAAATGACTAGTCAGGGTTTCAGCTTAATCTCCATATATAAAATGATGACAATTTTCTTTATAAAAAATCCTTTTGTGGAGTTCTTAGTTTGGTTGTTGAACTGTGTTGAGTGATGCCAGTACACCATTATAAAGTCTAATACCTTTTATGTTAAGAAGGTGAGAAAATTTGTTAGTGTAGATAATTCAATACTTGATTTTTTGCTTATAACAATATTTGACAATATTTTTTTAATTAAATAAAAGCTATAGTTAGAGGTTTCATATGGCATCTCTGTTTGGCAGACATACTATTTGGTAATTTTTAGCTTCCATCTCAAGACTTGATTTATTCACTTACCGATACGCAAGATAAAATTTAACAATTGTCATTATGATTGAAAGTTAATAGTTAATTATAGCTGGAGCACTAAGGATTGCCCAGTCCTGCAAAACTGACACATGTGAGTAGCCCCAGTAGAACTACTTGTGCATAACAATACTCCTCTACCTATGTGTTTTAGGAGTTGGGCCTAAATAGTGAGGATCACACTGTGCCTATCTCTAGCCAGTCATGTTCTTCACTGCCATAAGTACTAAAAGGTACTGCATAATAATATTAGTTTTTCAACACACCAACTAATGTGCTTTTTATTCTCATAAGCCTGATCCTGCGAACATTTTTTACTGAATGAAATGCTTCCTATGCACGAGACCATAGGACAACTCACAGTAGTGAGTTTATGCCTGGTGGCTTATGCTCTGTGCTGGTAATGAGAGTTTGCAGGTTACATATATGAATCTTTCCATTGACAGAAAAAATACATCATGTCAAAGATTGTCAGATTGACATCTTCAGACTGCTTCGTGTTGCATGACCTCCAATTTATCTTTCCTTACTGTAGATTGAGACAGTACCTTGTATTGGCTGATAATGAACCAATGAAATGTTTTATGCTAATTCTTTGCATCTTCAAAGGTGGATAAAATGTTCAGAAACAAAGTGAAAGTTTTCTTGGCTCATTGTGTTTGTGCTTTGTGGTTTTAACTTTATTGTGTTTTAATTTCTTCCCATTTTTAATAGTACTAAAAAGCACAAACTAAATTGAAATAATAGCGAGGCCATGATTTGCTTAAAAGCAGCATATGCAAAAGTCATTATGGCTGTAAAGACAAAGATAGATGTTGCCATATGCTCCAGAAATATGATGATTTCCCTGTAAGCACACACCTTGGAGCATATTATTGAATTTATTAGCCCGGAGTTGCATATGATTTATCAGCAACTGGGTTCCAAGTTTTGAATGCTCTTTTGGCTTAGATAGTAACAAATGTCAAAAAGGAATAACAGTATCATCTGTCTAACATAGTCAAAGACAACTGTGTAATAGGTAGACTTTTTTCATTATTATTATAATTCTCTAGTTAGCATTTGAATTTGTTGAAAAACTTTTTTTTCATAGTCAAAAGAAAATCGGGACATGAGATTTAAATATAAATTCATCAATTTTTCTAGTACAGATTAGTTCTTTTCTTAAAATGAATAGTACTTATTTTTGATAGAAACAAGTGTTCACAAATGCAGTTTAATGGTCTTTTATCTTGCATAAGCAGGAGAAATACTTGAGAGAAATCTATGTTTGTACTTTACATTAATTAATCTATTTAGTTTGAGTCCCAGACACAAATTTAGAGAAGGTAAATTTATTTAAACATTTAATAGAAGACTGTCACATTATGCTACTTATTATAAGTGTTATAAATTTTTGCTCCAACTCTGTGGAAAGAAAGAATAATATAACATAAGATGCACTTGTAACACACAGCCTCAGAAACTGCACTCAAGACTGAGCAAGTAAACCTAACACGTACACTGAAAGATCAATAACCTAGAATAATAACTGATTTTTTTCCTGTTAGTCTGCAGTTTGGAAAGAGTTATTGCTGGCAACTATTGGGGAACAGTTTACAGATTGCTCTGCAGCAGGTAAAGAGATCATTTTCTTACAGTGCTTTCTTTTTATTTCTTTAGATTTATTTTAAGCCCCTGTCCCAAGCAGTAGGTTCTTGTTCAAAATATTAAAACATCCAACACTTAAAACTTTTGGCACAGCATACAGTAACTCCTCACTTAAAGTCGTCCCGGTTAACATTGTTTCATTGTTACGTTGCTGATCAATTAGGGAACATGCTCGTTTAAAGTTGTGCAATGCTCCCTTCTAACGTCGTTTGGCAGCCTCCCCTAAGTACCTTGTGCAGCAGCTGCCCAGCAGGCTAGCAATTGCAGCTGTCCCTCCCTCTACTGCCATGTGCTGCTCCTGCCCTCTGCTTGGAGCTGCTCCCCAAGGCTCCTGCTTGCTGTGTGTGGGGGGGGGAAGGAAGAGGAGGGCTAAAGTCAGGGTGTCCCCCTTCCCCCTCTCCTGCACCCCGCTTACCCCATCTTCCATAGAGCAGGGGGGACACACGACAGAGGGAGCTTCCAGGCAGCTGCAGTCCGGACTCAGTTTGCTGATTTAATTAATAAGGCAGTGTATTTCTGACCCCACTCTTCATACTTAAAGGGGAAATGCACATCACACACACACACACAGTGTCTCTGTCTGCCCTTCCTCCTTTCCTGCCGCCTTATACAGTAGTGTGTGAGAGTTAACCCTTGAGGGCTCACTCAATTGCTAGTTCATCATTTAGCAGTAAGGCATTCCCTGGGAAATATCCCACCCTCTGACTCCTCCACCTCAACCAAGCTTCACAATGATCATCACTGTATACCAGTATTAAATTGTTTATTTAAAACTTATACTCTGTGTGTGTGTGTGTGTGTGTGTGTGTGTGTGTGTGTGTGTGTATATATATATATATAT